TACACCGGATCTTGAATTCTGATTGGCTGGCGAAATAGTAGCGAAATTTTTTAGGGTGGTGATGCTAGGGGGGTTGTGTTATTACACGAAAATACAGTCAAAATTTATCAAAAATAGCATTTAAAATACACTAAGTTTTAATTTTTTATGTGGTTAATATGCAGTAGGGTTGTATTGCATAAATTACCATTTTACATTACATGCTTCAGAAAATTAAATCATTTATAAAGTATGGATTTACAAAATTTCGGCCAGCATTTGATTTGAAAATTTGATCTCAGAAACGAAGTCATGTATTCAAAGTTACAATTACATGAAAAATCGATTTACCGAAACTTACGTAAAATTTCAGTAATTTTACATCCCTAATATGCAGAATATTTCAAGTGAAATCTTATATAATTAATCAAAGAAAAAAACTATCGCTATCAAAAAAATTATGTGTAATTAAAAAAAAAAAGTTTTAGAACTTTTCATTAAATTTTATTAGGACTGGGTGAAACCCGTGTTGGAAATTAGTAAAATCCGCTACGTAGATTACGTTAGGGTGAAATCCGCGCTTAGCTATGTTTTTTTATTATGCAAAAGCGAATTTCACCCTCATGTGATCTACATAGCGGATTCTACTAATTCACAACGCGGGTTCACCCTGTCGTATTTTATTAATTACAGCATAATAGACTAGCAGTTTTGGAACAATTAATATATGTTTTACTTCTAACAGCGACAAGCTCCGACCAATAGCTGATATAAACTAATCCTTGCAATTTTAATCTGCGTTGTCTACTTCTTCATAATCAATTCTCTCCTTAACTATCAATTTAATAATACCTTTAACTTTGTCCAATAATCTATTTTCATAAACAGTTTTAACCAAATTAGAAACAAACATGGGTCCACAAAAATGTACAGGATAATCCAACATTTTAGGAATAGAAGTCTGTATTAACCATGGAAATCGATCTAGAGTAATAGATTTCATTAAACATTGCTGACGAAGACCTTCTATTCCCCCAAATCTACAAATATTTAAATTTAATAGGAATCATATAAACCTTATAATTCACATGACAAAAATAAATAAATAGATACAAATAAAATAAAAATAAGTACCTCCCAAATCCGCTTATACCAACACCACCAAATGGTAAATTACAAAGATAGCTAGCTCCAAAATCATTTATGTTAACCATTCCACTTCTTAGTCGTCTTGCCATCCATTCACCTTTTCGCTGGTCTTTGGTAAACACGCTATTTCCCAATCCATAACCGCTAGAATTTGCAATTTCAATCGCTTCATCATCTGTTCGGAATTTCATTACTACCATTATTGGCCCAAAATGTTCCGTTTGAGATATTGGCATATCGGGAGTTACATCTATGAGAAGTGTGGGTGTATAATAATGAGCGGTTGGATAAAGGGGATGAACGAACGGATGACCTCCATAGAGTAGCTTGGCTCCTTGCGAAACTGAAGATTTTATCAGGGCGGAGAACCGGTCAATCTACATATAAATATTTTAGGCGTGATATAGATATGTATAAAGTTGCATTCAATAATATTGATCAAAATATACCTGATCGCTCGTGGTCAGTGCACCAATATCAACACCCTCTTCATCATTCAAAGCGCATCCCACTCTAAGTTCCCTAACTCTTAGTTCAATTATTTTCACAAATTTATCATAAATACTTTCATGAACAAGAATTCTTTCAAGTCCGATGCAGTTCTGTCCAGCGTTCTGAAATACGCCACGTAATATCACTGGAATTATTTGCCTTAAATTTACATCTTGGCGAAGGATAGCACAATCCTTTCCTCCTAGTTCTAATGTGCAGGGTGTTAATGTAGTAGATGATGATGACATGACCTGTCTACCTACTTGTGGAGAACTGCGGATAGTAACAAAATTAACAAAAGAGTCGTTATAAATAAATTATTTAATGCGAATTCATTAACATCCGAGTCTCACCCAATAAGAGTTATCCCATCAACACCGCTTTTAACGAGAGCTTCACCACAATCTGCAAATCCACATAGAAACTGCACTATATCCGGATCATGACCGCATGAGATTAAACAAGTCTTAACGATTTCACTGTAGTACTGCAATGACCATGCTACTTGCTCAGATGATTTAACTATAATTCCATTTCCTGCAAATAAAGCAGATATTATTGGCCCAATTATATTGTGAAAGCTATATTGAAATAGTAAGGAAGGGAATTAAAAAATGTTTAGTATAGACTGTCTAATGTGTATAAAATTTTTTAATGTATGGAGTATTTTTATGCGATTTTGGTAGTATGGTGTCGTGTTGAAAGTATTGATATTCAGGCAATGCTATATGGTGTGCTTTATTTGGTCATAAACGGATTTAATTAAACACATACGGATAGTTCCATGAAACTAGAGCTGCAACGACTCCGAGTGGTTCGAACTCAATTTTTGCAATTTTATAAAGTAACAGCATGCTGGATTCACGGTATTGTGGAGATAAAGCCTTTTCACCTTTCTTCATGGTCCATTTGATTCTTTCACACGTGACTAGTATTTCTCCCATTTTCGCATCAACCACTGTTATGGATGCATAATTTTTTTAGCCTATTTTTTTATTTTTTATTTTATTTTTTTTGCCGTTGTTGCAAGCTTACATGATTTTCCAGTATCCCGACAACTAACCCAACAAATTTCTTCTTGATTTATAACAATAAAATTCAGTAAACTTTTTAACACTTTTCTCCGTTCTTTAAATGTGGTTTGTGCCCATTTTTTTTGGGCGTTGCGAGCTTTTTTTAGAGCTTCGACCACATCTTGTTCAGTGTGAGCACGTATGTTAGATAATAGTTGACCCGTTGCTGGATCATAACATACAATATAACCCGGGTTTTGGGGATCCTAGTAATTTAATTTTGTTAAACAGTAGAAATTGTATTTTCAAATATTTATTATTTATTTATTTACCTTTATGTTAGGTTTATCTAGTACTTTTCCATCAATCCATCCGGGTTTGGCCTCTTGTAAAAGAAATCAATGTCAATTTATCAATAACCAATTCTCACATTCACTTAAATTGTTACCCACCAATAGGCACCGGAACGGAGAATTCTATAGGTTCATCATCATCAGAAAGAAACTTTGCGAAAGCAAAAGTAATGATGACGGTTAGTAATAATATTATAATTGTATTAAGATTGAATTGAAAGTTTTCGAATATTAAAAATAACATTTCCTCATGCTATCCAAAAATCGTAAAAATTTGGCAAATAAATATTGTGCAGATTTCTTGTATCACATTTCACAATCGACATCTTTAAATTGACATTCTCCAATCACATACCCCAGTTAACGATTTCACTTCCCCAATCCGATTTTATACTAAAATGAATCCAAACACCATAGAAACCGAACATCTTTTACCATCGGGGGAAGAAGCTCGTTCTGAAAAACACAATTTCCATGAACGAATCAAAGCTTTACTCGAATGCCGTCAAACGCATTGGTTCATTCTTTTCCTAGTCTCTGCGGATTTCTTTTGCGTTATTACGACGATTGTGATCACATTTCTTTGGCCAAACATGGAATGGGAAGAACATATCGTAATAGAAATCTTGTCATCAATTGCCTTCATTATCGATTGTGTCTTTATGATTGAAATTGCCTTGCATCTTTTCGTATTTGGATTAAGTTATTACTTTAAAGGATCCAATTGGCACCTTCATTTATTTGATGCTACTATTATTATTACAACATTTTTCTTAGAGTTATTTTTAAAGGGAAAACAGAGAGAAGCTGCAGGGCTATTGATCGTTTTTAGGTTATGGAGATTGGTTAAGATGCTTAGTGCTTTTGCAGTTGGTATGGGCGAATATTACGATGAACGAGCCGAAAATTTGAAAATAAAAGCAGAGGGACTAGAAAAAGAATTGAATAAGATTTTGGATGAGGTTGATAAAATTGCCAGTGAGGATATGTGGGATGAGAGTAAGAGAGCAAGAATTTTTAGTCAAACTTTGGTTGGTAAAAGTGATTCTATTGATGTTATACATGAGTAAATGTAATTTATTATTTCCATCGTTTTTATCATTTGTATTATTTATCACTTGTTCATTTTATCATTTCAATTTTATGTAAATACGTACAAATTTCATTATCAATTTTAAATTTCTGTAATTAAAATCACTATTTTTGCCATGTGATATTTAATGCTCGATGTTATTGACATACATACAATCTAATTAAATGATGCGATAATATTGGTCAAACTTTTAACCGTTGATCCGAAGAACGATTGCAATTATAGCACTGCAAATGCCTGACACGAGCATGGGCACTACAGTTTAATTGTATCCGGCACTTGCAGAACCCTAATTACAACGACAAAGGGAGGAACATTATAATTAGCCCCCCCAGCATTCACAATTTCGAGATTATCCTGACAATATCAGTATTAAGAGTACGCAGGTCGTTAATAAATTTATTACCGTTGCTTATTTAACTAAGCCGACTAAGGGTGTTCTCAAGCACCTCGCTCAATGGATCGGAGGCAAAATTTTAATTAGTCGGGAATTGAATAAATTAATCA